GCGGGGGCTCTGGCCCGAGGTGCAGGACACCTGCACCTCGCTGGGTTTGATGCTGTCGATCGTGCTGTCCGTGGCGCTGGCCCGCGGGGTCCTCCAGCGGCACGTGCATCGGCCTTCGGCCCACGCCTTCGTCTTGGAGTTTCTGGCCACCTTCCAACTCTGCTTCTGCACCCTTGAGCTGCAGCTGCTGGGCGAGCAGGAACCCGCGCACCCCACCTGGTCGCTGACGCTAACCTACTTCTTCTCGTTGGTGCATGGCCTGACTCTGGTGGGCACGGCCAGCAACCCGTGCGGTGTGATGATGCAGATGATGCTGGGGGGAATGTCCCCCGAGACGGGGGCGGTGAGGCTGTTGGCTCAGCTGATGGCTGCTCTGGGCAGCAGGTACTGTATAGGCGCCCTGTGGAGCCTGGGACTGACCAGGTATCACGTCGGTGAGAGGAGCTTCGCTTGCAGGAACCCCATGCACGTCGACTTGCCCAAAGCTGTCGTCGTAGAGGCCATCTGCTCCTTTATCTTCCACAGTGCCCTGCTGCACTTCCAGGAGGTCGGAACCAAGCTTCGTATCCACATGCTGGCAGCACTCATCACCTTTTTGGTCTATGCAGGTTTGTTATTCCCACAAAACACTCGGTTCGTCCAGACCTCTTGACCTGAGGCCCTAAGCTCTTTATCAAGATGTATTTGAAAGCCCTGAACCTCTGTGATGTCAGTACTAGTATCCCCGTTATTCTAACCATGTTGCGTCCCGTTCTTTACCAATAGAGCCAAAATATTGATCCTCAATTCAGTGAATTTTTGGACACTCAGAAAAAGGAGCCACTTCTGTGCTGAAACTGAGAACTTGTGAGCTATTGCCAAGGGTTCAAATATCCTACAAAGGGATTGTTTCAATGGCAGAGAGGAAGATAAGTTATCAGCTACCTCTTTCCTCAAGCCAACCTGGTATAGATCCTTTCTGACACTCACTGAAAAATGATCCTGGGCTTAAAAAGTTCCTTCCAGTTTAAAGCTACATGATTGGTTAGTAGTAAGAGTGGCAAGTACAGTTCAGTTCAGTTTTATTTCTTAGTTCTTTTCCTGAAAAATTACTTAAAATTTATTTCCTTAATAATTCATCTTGAGTAATAAATTAACTTATTTATTAAATATATTTTGTTGATTTTTTACAGAGAGGTAAGGAGAGGGATAGAGTTAGAAACATGGATCAGCTGCCTCCTGCACACCCCCTACTGGGGATGTGCCAGCAACCAAGGTACATGCCCTTGACTGGAATCGAACCTGGGACCCTTCAGTCCCCAGGCCGACGCTCTATCCAGAGCCAAACCTGTTAGGGCATAAATGAACTTTTAAGTGACTTATCAAGAAAGATGCTTTAGAAGTAAAACTTGGCCCTCACTGGTTTGGCTCAGTGGATAGAGCATCGGCCTGCGGACTGAAGGGTTCCAGGTTCGATTCCAGTCAAGGGCACATGCCCGGGTTGTGAGCTCGACCCCCAGTAGGGAGCGTGCAGGAGGTAGCTGATCAATGGTTCTCTCATCAATGTTTCTATCTCTCTTCCTCTCTGAAGTCAATAAAAATATTAAAAAATTAAAACTTGCTTGAAATTAAAGGTTTAAAAACAAATAACTCGAGAGAAATCTGATTTCTTGTAAACCATTTATTTACCTTGACAGATATCAGATGCAAAAAGAAAAGTTTAATGATGAAATGTGTCATTTTAAAAGATTACAACAAAACATCTTCATGGGAACTATATCTGAATTATAAAATGTTTTGGAGGAAAGGAAATATGTAGTAAGAGTTTATCTTCTTCCCATGAAAATTAAAATGAGTAGAAACAAACCTTGAGCTGAGGACTCCTACTAAACACATGCTTGCCCTCCTAGGGTAAAATGAACACCACGAATGTTTTCCTTCCTTTAGATCTAGTACCATTCTTTTTTAGACACAGATGGACATAAATGGTATAGGCAAGAGGGCAGGATATAATGCATATTTGAGGAGTTGGTGAATAGTTGTTTATTAACGTTTTAGGTTTTAGCAAAAGCAGAAACATCCTCCATATATAAACAGGGTCATCCCTTGCAAAATGTTTTGCCACAGCTGGGACACAGTTGAGGGTACTCAGAAGTCACCACCAATACAGGTCACGTTAAAACAGCTGGTTATGTATTTTAAGACAGAACATAACTGACCAGCCCTGTAGCCACAGGCTCCTTGGATAGCCAGTGACCAAGTGTCTGATTGTGTATTTATTGATTTAGCACCCTGCGCCGTGAGGCACAAATTGAGGTCACTGAAGTCATTACCACTTATGTACTTAATTGGTTTCCCAAATTAAGAGGGGGGAAATGTGGGGGGAGAGGGGGAAGAAGCTGTGTGACCTATTAGCATGTTAAAGCTATAAAATTACTGATGCAAATTTCAAGCAAATCTTCCTTAACCTAGATATGGGAAATTTTAGCTCACTAAGCAGAGTAAGAGAGGACTGCGTTCATTTTTTTAAAATTAATTTGATGTTGAAAAAAATTATTTTATACATCTAAGTTGTCTTTACTACAGCCCCCAGTTCATTTCCTTTGTAGAATTTTTTTTAATATATTTTTTATTGATTTTTTACAGAGAGGAAGAAGGGAGAGAGATAGAGAGTTAGAAACATCGATGAGAGAGAAACATCGACCAGCTGCCTCCTGCACAGCTCCTACTGGGGATGTGCCTGCAACCCAGGTACATGCCCTTGACCGGAATCGAACCTGGGACCTTTTAGTCCGCAGGCCGACGCTCTATCCACTGAGCCAAACCGGTTTCGGCCTTTGTAGAATTTTTATACACTTGTTTTCTTATATAATGTCTGTTTTCCTTCACTAGACAGTAAGCTTTATGAGTAGAGAGACTAAAATTGATTCATTATAACATATAACCATGACTTAGTATGGTGTCACCTGCTACAAAATAAATAGTAAGGATTTTTAGAATGAGTGAATCGGCAAATACTCTATTCACTTTTTAAAAATCATACAGAAAGAAATAATATATATATGGGTATTCCATATGTAATGTCTAAAGACTTTCAAAATAAGCACAATAAATTATCTGAAGAAATTTGTAGGATTTTTACTTTATTAATTCAGGAGTTTTTCATGATGAATATAAGTAAGATTTTTGTCAGTGGAGAAGGGAATTAAGCTTTTTACATGTTTTCATTTTTAATACAATAACCATCTGAAACAGGTGCTAATTTTAAGATGAAAAATAAGTTCAAATAAAAGTTCAAGACATTTTTAAAAGTATGTATTTTTATTTCAGCAAGAAGGGAAACATCAATGATGAGAATCATTGATTGATTGGCTGGCTGCCTCCTGCACACCCCACACTGGGGATCGAGCCCACAACCCGGGCATGTGCCCTGACAGGGAACTGAACCCTGACCTCTTGGTTCATACTTCGACCCTCAACCACTGAGCCATACCAGCTGGGCTCAAGACATTTTATATTATGCTAGTTATAATAGAATGGTTAAGAGGAGTTGGACTGTTTCCTTAGGAGAGATACTTAATTTGGGTTGTTTCTTCATTTTTAAAATGAAGAATACTACTATCTATATCAATTGTGAGGAATAGAGTAATGTATGCAAGTTCTTAGCATAGTATCTGCTACTAACATTCTGGTCACTAGAAAGGGCTAGTCCACTGTAAATTAGTTCACGGACATTCTGGATTATACATGAGTCGGATGGGATTTTAGGAGTGTCATTCTGTCAGAGAATGTGATTCCCTTTAGGAGTGCTGAGAAACATTAGTGCCTAGAATTTGAGACTTAGCTTTTCACTGTGGTGACTTCACTCAGTTCATGCTGTCCTCCACGTCTCTTTCTTCACAGCAGCTGGCCAGATCTCCCCACTCATACCTATTCTTCAAGATGTTAAGATTTCTCCCTTTCAAATGCCAATGATAGGTAGCTTGTTTTTCGAAGCCATTTTCTGTTCTATGCCTGGTGCATGATTTCTTACTTTTTAAATAATTCATGTTTAATTACACAAGTAATACATGTTTTCTTTTTTGTAAAAAAAACTGACACTACCAGTGGGACTAAAAGTGACTTTTGACTGTCATCCTCATGCCTATCCCCTCCCCTTCTCCATGTACTCTTTCCTCCAGGCAATCCTCTGTGCATGTGTTGTGTGTCCTTTCAAACTTTTTTTCTGTCCATTTAATATATATATAATATATATAATATATATAGATAGATAAGACCCTACAGAATCCAGTATGTGTGTTTGTGTTAACATAAAAAGTTTCATACCTTACTTTCTGGGTTTGCTTTTTTTGGTGGTGGTTGTAAGGATATATCTTGGAGATCTCTCATTATTTCCAAATATTGAATGGTATTCCAAATTAACAATAAACTAACGTACTTAGCTGTTTTCTTATGACTGGGCATGTAGAGCTAGACCATGAATCCTGAAAAGCAGTTGACAGGATTTGTGCTTATTATTCATGACTACTCAGTTACTTCTTGGCAAAAAAATTTTTGTAGCCACTTTACTGAGGTATAATTTACATACCATTCCGTTACTTCTTTAGGGCTCTCTTGACAAGTAAAAATGGAGTTAATGATAATGCTTTGGTCCATTTTACTTTTTGTTTTCAACACAAAGGTATGCTATGTCCAAGAGAAACCTGAGGTACTGAATCCATTTTTTAATGTATTTTCATTTTATTTTTATTATTTATTCATTTAAATTAAAAAACAGCCAAATCTCCCGTTTTATAAAGCCTTATAGGAACAGCAATAGAGCAGATTCATTCTGAATGTACATTTTACAATAATATACAGGAAAAGCACTGGATTAACACTCTTTTCCTCCTCACCTGAAGAGTGAGGATATTCTTCGATTGATTTTTAGAGTGGAAGGGAGGGAAGGGGGAGACAGGGACAGAGAGCGGAGAAAGAAACATTGTGTGAGACAGACACATCAACTGATTGTCTCTTACACATGCCTGACCAGAGGTGGGGATCAAACCTGCAACCCAGGTAAGTGCCCTTGACTGGGAATTGGACCTCTGGTGCACAGACTGATGCTCTAATCACTGAACCATGCCAAGCCAGGGCTGGATTAACTTTCTTAATAACCTGTTGGGGTTTTTTGCACCTGGCATTTTATAACCTATAATCTATTTTTATATAGACAGGTGATTCTACAAAGAAAGATCATAGAATAAGAATGCAGTCGGCTACTGTTATGGAACCACAGGTTCCGAATCTATGAGTTCCAAATCCACAGATTCAACCAACCATGGATCAAAAATATTCTTAAAAAATTATGTTGTTGCTGACATGTACTTTGTAGCTAGGACTATAATTGTGTCTATACTGACTGTATGCACTTTTTTGTTGTCATTATTCCCTATGTAATAAACAACTATTTATATAGCATTTACATTGTATTAGGTATTATAAGTAATCTTGAGATGACTTAAAGTATAGGGGAGGATGTGTATGTATATGTGCAACTACTGTGCCATTTTATATAAGGGACTTGGACAATTATGGATTTTGGTATCTGCAGGGGCTCCTGGAACCAATCCCCGACAGATACCAAAGGGTGACTGTCCTTAACTATGTAAAACAAAAGTTAGATTTAATAACCCCTTTATTTTCAGTTACAAGAAAATGTAAGCTACATGGTTTGGTATCACTCTGCTTAAAATGTATTACAGGAGGAAGTCTAACAGGAGCTATATTTAATCCAGCTTTGGCACTTTCACTACATTTCAAGTGTTTCGATGAAGATTTCCTTCAATTTTTTATAGTATATTGGCTGGCTCCTTCTTTAGGTAAGCATGTTTTTATTTAATATGATTGAAAGATCAATTTATCTTGAAATATGGTATGGAATGTCACTGTAGCACATCAATTTCTAAAGCCAGAGAAGGCACAAAAAATAAAATAAAAAGGATAGTTAACATGCCTGAAATAACAGTTTATCTTGTGCAGTAACCTTTAAAACTGTTTTTATCTTCAAAGAAGCAAAATTATCTAGTTAAGGATAGTCAGTTACAAGTATGATACCACTTAACAAAAAACTCTCAGATATGAGGGCAAAAAAAATGAGGAGTGATTAATTTCATTAGAAACTTATTTTTTTTACTAAAGAAATTAGTTTTTTCCAATTTGTGAACTCCAGATAAAATACTATTAGTTCATTTGACTCATTTTGCAGAAAAGCATTTTCTATAACAATGTGTACCTGTAATGAGCACAGCTTTAAAATCCACAAGATTCATTACTGTTACTTCTATTAAATCAGAAGATATATAAAAGTCCTCTATACAGATGGGCCAAATACCACAAAAAGGTAAAAAATAACTGTAGTGATAATATGCACTTCTTTATATGTTATTGATTAGTCATTTGTTGTAAGCTTGACTATAATTCATAACTATAAGTGAGTATGAGGATACCTGGCTTTTTATTAGTTCATCCTTATTTTTATCCACAGTTAGCAGTTTGTTTCTTGTTGCTCGGCTCCATTTGTTCTTCTTAAAGGGAACATATAGAAGGGAACAAGGGCACAGTTTGAACAGCCTTCACACTTTACTCCTGCCATTTACCTCCCATTCCTTGATGTAGTATCTGTTATGTTAACATGCAGGTCTAAACATGTAGAACATCAGAGAAAACCTGCATTTTAAAATGCTAATATTGGTGCCTTTTTTTCTTTAGTTCAACAGATTGCTAGTTTTCCAATAATAAATGCTTTAAAGATAAATTTTCTCTATTTTTGATTTTTAAGAAGTTAAAAATGTCACTGAAGTTAATGAAGAAGCTAAAAAGGTCACTAATTGGACAGGTCTAGTGATAGTTTTCATGTGGAAAAATCTCTAATATGTCTTATTTGAAATCAACATATATTATTAACATTATATACATATTTGTTTAATGCGTCCCAAATATGATGTTAATAATAGGCCCATGATACTAAGGAATTGTTTCACCCATTACTTGAAAGAATGCTAAAAAGTAGGCCTTTCCAGAAGAATTTGATAAGAAATCAGTAGTAATGACACTCTCTGTAAAAGGACCCTGACATTTTACTTTAAACACAGGTCCAAATCACTCCATAATTTCTTCTTGAAGAACATACTGGGGGGAAAAATCTCATGAAAAATAAAAAAGAAACTATCATCTCTGCCCCTTTAGAAAGTACAGTATACAAACTAGCGAGTAGCAGAAAGGGAAAAAGGATATATTCTCTTCCTGTTATTGTAGTCCAAACAAGGAGGTAATGTTGTATATGGCCATTACCAAAGCACTTTAAAGAACCACTTGTCCAAAAACAAACCAAACAAAATACAAATATATTTTTATCCATTCCTTTGCTTCCTATTTAAGGAATCCTTTAAAACTGGAATTAGAATCAACTTTTATGCAATTATGTATGGCCCTACTTAGCTTGTTGAAAATAAGCAAAGATTCTTAGTTGGACTAAAGACCTCCTTTTTTCTACATAGACCCAACATAAAAATTCCTGTTGTCATTTTTGGTTTAAGGAGGCATGTTCCTATATTTCTATATATATATATATTTTATTGAGGTCAGAGAAGAGAGAGGGGAGAGACGGAAACATCCATGATGAGAGAGAATCATTGGTCGGCTGCCTCCTGCAAGACCCCTACTGGGGATCAAGCCCACAACCCGGGCACGTGCCCTTGACCTTGGAGTTGAACCTGGGACCCTTCAGTCCGCCTTCAGTCTGCAGGCTCACGCTCTTTCCACTGAGCCAAACCAGCTAGGGCTGTTCCTATACTATTTCTTTAAGAGATTCATGAATGAGAAACAATACAGGAATCCTTCAATATATATATGGATAAGAGGTGTGAAAATATGGCAGTTTTTAGAACACAGTGGGGCCTTGACTTACAAGTGTCCCGA